AAAATACATTTGGAGACAATAGAAGGGATTCACTTGCAATTTTTCATGTTTTAATGTTAAATGTGAGTGTGAAAATAGCAGCACAAGTTCAACTCATATTATAGGCTACAATGCTTTATACCTAATATGACCACGAACGTCAGTGCACTCAGTGGCGCGAGGCAGCAGGGCCCGCCGGCGAATATCTCGGGGGCGGAGCCTGCCGCCTCGGTGACGGGCCCCCATTGGGTCCCGACCGTTCCGGGCCCGGGGAGCCCTGCCCCTACAGCCCCCCCTGAAGCTCCGCCCCTGGGTGCAACCCTATTTTGTTTCACCAGCTATTTACTTATATTTACTTATTAGGCTGGATTTTAAAAACTTAAATAGTTATATGAAATGCTGGGGCAATCCAATCATGTTATACCGTAAGTAATGGAGGCTGGACCACAGAGAGACACCAAGACAGTTCCTGAAACACCACTCTCCCAGCCTGTCCCCAAAGCCATCTCCACAAAGAAAATTAACTTCAGCCCTTGTCTCTCTTAATAAAACAGTAGAACACAACACCGGGCACATTATTTATATCCGTTCTGTTCTAATTGCAATCTCCACCGAGTGGGTGGATTGCATTCACGGGGGAAATAGAGGCTGTTACAACTCATGTCAGGGCAATGGCTTCACTTGAAGGAGCGGATGTGTAGTAACACCAAATAAAACCAATGTTTGGTTAGAACTGATGTACTGTTCAACACAGTAATGGGTGAAAAAAAGGGGCTAAAGGAAGACAAAAACAGACTGATGTGGGAAAAGGGATACAAGCCATCATAGGAGAAAAATAATCCCCCAAAGTGACAAGAGACAAGTAGTAAGACACAAGAGCAAAGAGACAGACAGTACTACCAGGCCAACATTTCTAAATGCATGTGTGGGCCTGGGGGAATTTCAGACAGTCTTAAACCAATTGGAGAGTCATATAGCTGCAATGGATTTAAGTTGAAGGTTAAGGTGATTTTCTGACAACCTGGGAAATAATACTCTGCTATTTATAAAGAATGACACGGCACCAGACAAAAACAAAAGCCATATTAACATTCCCAGAGATGGGAAGCAAAACAACAAAGAGTGAAATAAAAGAGGCAGATGTTTTCTTATCAGGCCACTGTAACATATCTATAGGTTCTAAAAACATTAAACTGCAATGAAAACAGTTATGAGCAGAGTATAATTAAGTCCACACCCTGGAGACGGTGCCTTTAGGGATTTTAAACAAAATGTAGTAGGCAGGTGGAACACAAAGATACATGATTGCAAGTAATGGGGCTAAAACTAACATGGAGCACAAATCAATAAGGTTTGCAGGTTGCAGAGGCAGCAAGGGCATTTTACTTAAAGAAATGTACGTGACGAAATTGAGGGGGGTGTCTTACAAAGCAGCAACTAATTGGAAAATTGAGAACTTGTGTCTCCCAAAATAAACCATTATGAACATGTAAAGAACCGGTGAGCATGATGTGTTACATCTGCTTCTCTGGCAGTCAAATGTTGTTTATGTTGTTAACACAGGAAAAGGCCTCAAAGATGTTGATGTTAATTGAGTGAGGGATGTACCAAATAAGGTGAGTGGCTTTTAGTAGCATTTTGTCAAGGATTAAGCTAAATGTATGCATATAATTAGATTTATAAGGAGAGTGACTATTTCCGATTAGGAGGATTCAAGCAGAGCAACTGTGGTATTTAAAAGCAGCACTAAATGGGCACCTGCAGAGGCGGCGCATAAACGTTACACAAAGATCAATGCCTCTTTTCATTGTTCCCATCCACATATTTAATTTAAGCTATCACCCCCTACTAATGTTCAAATCTCCTGTTCAAATCTAAATTAGCTCTTCCAGAGAACGATTACTGGGGATTGATGAAGTGTCCCATGCTTATTTCAGCGTAATTACAGTGGTTCTAATGTGCAATTATCAGTATGGCCTGCTGGAAAAAAATGGGACCGTTTAGATGTTAAATACTGCCATTAACATTTGCCTGTAAATGTTAAATGCTGTCGTTAACATTTGGCTATAAGATGGAATGAAGTTATCTCAATGTTTTCTTGGCAGTTAAAATGGTACTCTACAAGAGTTCAACAAGAGAGTTACAAGCCAGGATTCGGCAGAGAAGGGTGGAAATACATTAGCAGATGAGGAGAAAAAAGAGACGGAGATAGTGAAATGTGGGGAACGGGGAAACAGACAAACATAGAAAGATTTTGTAGAGATGGGAACACTTGAGCAGCAAAATGGTTGACAAAACCAGGGAGAGTAAAACTTCCAACAAGTTCACATCCAGTTAATTAACTGAAAAGGCCCTTTCTTATTGCCAGATGCATTGCTGAGTTGTTACTCATCTCTGTATGCTGACATTTCCACATACGCATGCAGCCAATTAGGATGCACCAAATCAACCCTGTGGGGAATGCTCCCCAACACTTTATATTCTTCAGCTCCAAAACAGGCAAAGATTAGATTGCTTATTGATTTATTCTACATTTGATCATTAGGTGCATCACCAATACATCAAGTGTCTTGGCACAGAGCACATGATCACTGGTGCAGACATTCAAAGCCAAAGTGGAGACTTTAAAAGAAACTGCAGCACAAATATTTCCAGTGTTACCTGCAATTGCTTTCTCCGTTTAAACAGGCCATCTTTCACCCGTGTCTGACCTACCACTTCTGTTTGCGAAGATTCCATGGTGCTACTGAAGGTTTGCAGAAACACTGATCAGCTTGTATAAACAGCACTTGCAGCAAATCAATTAAGCTATTTTATGTTTGGAAACCAGCTTGCCACTGTAAGGAATGGTGCAGTTAAAGCTGGAGTGAGAGACTTTTCAGATATAAATGAACATCCATTACAACCAAGCCTTGTCAAACCAAATTCAGACTTTACAGAACATTTCCTGAACATAATGAAGTCTGTTGCTGAGACCGGCAGCTTTGATCGTACGCCTCCTTAGCCTCTAAACCAGAGCCGTCTGTTAGAGGAACCCTGCAGAGCTCTGTCAGAGCTCCTATCTCTGGCCACTCCTCCACCTCATGACATGCTAATTGTCCAGTTTGCACTTGGTTATTCACCTGGGAGATATAGGATTAAATGCCTGTGTGGGACTGTTGCTTACCTCTGTTGCTGTTGGCCCCATTCAGGGTCGGGCCCTAGACTGTAAGTGGAGGCAGCTCTGGGAATAAATATCCCCCATGTATGAAACACACAGTCAGTCCAACACACACACACATGCAAAGATGGCATGCATCTGGTATCAGCAAACAAATCATGCACTGCGCAAAGACACACCATATGCTGATACTTAATACTGGTGGCCAGAAACCAAAAGAATACAGTATATATAACAAACATACATAACCAATAATGCACATAATGTACACAGATGCTTAAATATTTGACTTAAGTTGAATACTTAAGGACCATTCTCAAATCACTAACAATGAAAGGCAAAAGCTGTTATGCAGATTGACACATATTGAACTTTAACTTAATAATGAACTAAATGGCACCTGCAGGTATTATTTCTGATAAGGATTTTTCTGTCATTGCTTTGACATGACATGTACACTACACATACATGTATAATGAAATGCGCAATACCACGTGCCACTGGAAGGACTTAACTCTGCCACAAGCAGCCAAAACGTGTTGTTCGTCAAGTAGTGCTCAGTCTGATTTTGGTACTCTGTTGGACTCAGATTCAGTTGGGGGGGGGGGCATCCTGAAAGGCACCATGTTCTGTTAAACCCAGCTGCAGGCTGTTGGAAAAGGTCCAGCTGTATGATTGGCTTTATGTTTCAGAAGTGCCTACAGACCCAGGAAATGAGCTCAACCATTTCCCTCTTATCAATTTTATATAATGTGTTGGAATGTGTTTACACAAGAAGAAAACTGCGAGCCTTCACATTGACACCCCTGCTGGGTTATTTTCTATTTGTATTCAAATTGGTAAAATTAAACTTGTAGTAGAAGTAAAAGACAAAAGAGGATTCTCTATTCTGGCAACACAGTCAGCCCCTGAGCTCTGTAAATGGAGAAATCTGTGAACCGTTCCCTCCCAAAAGCTCTAAACCCAGCCATGATATCCCCTCTAAAAACCCTGCATCAGCATCCAGTAAAGCACTCCCTCATTCTCATTGTGTTTGGTGAATGACAACTCTGATTTATACACTTTTTGTGAGGAGGAGGTCCTGTGGGGCTATTTGATGTACTAGTAATATAATTCCAATACATTTTTATATACACGATACAGATTGTTGGCAGTAACTGCTGTCCTTATAAACTATCTATCTTTGAATGTATCTCTCCTTCCTTCTCCCTACACCTTGGCTCCACAGAGGTATCTCTCAGACTGTGTGAATCCATTTGAGGTCTCGCTTTGATGTTTGATGCTGTGCGTCCTGCAGAGACTCTCTCCTGCACTGAGGCGGAAATGCACCACTGCAGCCCACCAAACTGAACTGAACACATTTCAGTGGAAAGAGGGAGATTCTTTCAACGGGCTTTGCTTTTTCTCTATCTGCCACCAACATGTTACCGGACTGAATAGTTCTTGACAGCTGATGTCAACCTTGCACAAAGTTTAAAACTGCTCAAAGCTATAATTGTACGGATATCTTGCACCCATCATCCCTCACTGTTAATGGTTTGAAAAACAACTGTGGGAAAAAAAGTTTACAGTATGAAAAGTGTAGATGCAAGTGTTCACCACAGAGCTAAAGCTAGCAGTAGCTTTCTTGTTTTCAGCCCTTTTTGAGAAAATATTTCCAGAACCTCTCAAAGAAGGGGAACTAAACTTGAAAATCCCCTTTTCAAATTTAAAACAAGTCTTGCACCAAGTACAGTCTGTGCCATGGTCAATGCCTGGATTATCCCAGGCATTATTTATGACAATGAACACACTTTGAGAAATGCTGCTACCACAGGCTGTTAAATATTGATGCTGGACATAGCAATGAATGATTCCTCACCTTCTCTCCTGTTGACCTTTGCAAAGACCGGCCCATGGCTGCTGGTGAGCTGGGAGGAGCTTCTGAACGATGATGGCGGCAGATTGGCCACCAGCGGGCTGTCACATACCTCTGTTAACCAATCAAAAGCAGAAAAGACAGTTTAAAATCATGGATTGTTTCATCGAATATATGGATCTATATGTTACAGCAAGTTATCCGTCATTTTAACACTGACTGATGGAAGTTTTCTAATAATCATAAGGTCAAACTTAAGGTATGAGTAATCTGTTGTCAAAAAAGACAACTGGTTTTCAGCAGGAGAGCAAAGTCATTGGCAACCTTTTAAAGCCTCATGCACTTTGATGTTAATAAATGAATGAATGAAGCTTCGTAGAAGGGAACAAATTGACTCTTAATGAATGACCTATTAACATTAAGTATATGATGATGAAGAACGTACACTTTACTCTGATGCAGCAACAAAAAACGCCATGTGAAACAGTCCTTCATCGCGGACACATGGAATTTCCTAACAGTAAATTGCAAGCACTGACATACAAGAAAAGGAAACAAGTGTGTAAATCGTTTACCTGTTTTTGTCAACATAATACATGACGAATATTAAACTTGATTTGTTCAAGATTTTTATCTGCTGCTTAAATTGACCTTTGAGGGCCTGTGTCTCTTTCAGCCACATTTGTTTCTCTCTCTCTCTAACATTTAAATGCAAGTTTATTTTTTTACAGACAACACACTTTCCTGATTATTATAGAGGTTATTCCCTATCTTTATTCAAGAGCGTGTTCTTTCAATTTGAGAGCATCATTTATTGATTTCACGTTCAGATTTTGTATTTCTTTCAGTCAAACCCTGTCCTTGCACTTAGATTTGCTCTGCTTCTGCTCAAACTGTACGCTTGCACTCAGATATATTGCTGCTTGCACAGATTTCCTGTTTTCCAGTTTAAATCCTTCTCCTCACACTTAGGCTGCTTCTGTGCGCTGACTGCGCTCGTCAAATGTCTGCTCTCAGATTTCTGGTCTGCGCTTGGATTTTTTCTGTGCTTGGATTTTTTCTGTGCAAAAACCATTTCAAAATCCCTCAACCAATAGGAGGCCAGGTGAAGGGTCGTCTTGCTGGCGCGCTCACTTTACTTATTAAAGCGTCCCGTAAGGGACTATTTAACCAGGTTTTGTTGTGCACCGTCAAAAGTGCTAAGTCAAGTCATGTTTCATGTTGTTATTTGTCATTCTTGTATTGTCTTTCACTTCCTGTTTTGTTTTGTCACGTCTCATTTCAGGTTCCTTGACTCCCTTTCCTAGTGTGTATCTCCCACGCTCATCAGCACCAGCCCCGCCCCTGATTGTTTTCACCTGTGCCCAGTTATCTCCTGTTTATATTCCCCAGTTTCCCTTTGTTCGTTGTCAGTTCGTCTTGTCCTGTCCTCATGCCAGAACTCTGCTCTCGAGCGTTTGCTTCTTTGATTCAAAGCCTATTTTTTTTTCTCCTGAAACTTATGTTAAGTTTAGTTCCTCACGTGGTAAGCGATTTTCTTTTGTTACCTTTGTGCAAATAAAGTATATCAATTATACTTTACATCTGGCTCCCGGGTCCTGCATTTGAGTCCTTATCCTTGTGTATCCAAGTTCGTAACAGGATGTTGGCACTGTGATACATTTCCATCAGGATAAGGACTCAAATGCAGGACCCGGGAGCCAGATGTAAAGTATAATTNCCTTTTTGGCAGATTAACTAAAGGTGTGTGGCTGCTACTGTGAGGAAAGATCAGGCTGCATTTACAATGGGCCTTAATGGAGACATGTTGAAAGCTTTTGTCACTTCATGCTCTCAAGAGGCATTTTGTTTAATTCTTTTTTGCCTCATTTTCTTCTTCTTTTTCAAGCTAAGAGATGTTTTCCTACGTTTCTCATGAAAAATGATGTCCCAGGAGTGTAGGGTTTTGGAATTATGGCATTTAAAAATATATATATATGAAGGCGATTTTCAAGCTCTCCTTCACTCTACCTGTGGCATCACACACTCTAGCCTCGAGCTGCACAATACACACTAATGTTAAAATCTGAAGTAGGCCTCTTTACCAAGGTCTGAAAAATGTTTAATACCTCTAAAAGTATGAATCTGATTTCAAAGTTGTGTAAGACGAATAATGTCAGAAAGATATGTAACATTTTAAAGTTGGAATGAGGTTTCTCAGTGAAAATATGCAGGAACAGTAGCAGTTGAAGTGGTATGAAGATTTTTCAAGTCTGAAGAGTTTCTCCATCGACTTGCATGTTGAACATGTGATGAATTATGGGATATATCTCTGTAAATATGAAAGTTATGAATGAGAAAAGTAATAGCCATCGATTCCCGATCAAGCTGAACGTTTTCATGTTTGAATGGAATTTCTGCGATGTGGAATGTGGGAGCAGAAGAGGCGCAAAATAACCCGGCGGAATAAGAATAAATAATGTGTGCGTAGAAGTACAAGTAGTTTGGGATGCTGTATCAGCATTCCCACTAAATAACTAAAGATGGAAATATCATTATTTTTGTTATAATGCCACAACATATGCAAAGAGAGGAGGTTAGGGAGAACGGAAAGGTCTAACCAACACTAAAACAACTAAAATATTGCTGATGGCCTCTTGTTCTGCACAAATAGCCGATGACAAAAGTACTTAATAAGTATTTATTTTAATGCAACTAATGTATGTGTTCTCCTCCAGGGTGAGCCAAGCCTAACTGAGGCAAATGAGAAAGAAATTGTCTAATAATTTGATGTTTTTTTTTAAGAGAATGACTTAATATCCTCTCATTGAAGAAAATAAAAGAATGCCTCCAATTTCTTCTTTTAAAATGCAAATCTGATCCATTAAGATGCTCATCACATACTCGCAACATTTACCCCTGGGTCCATTAGTAAAAGTGATGTAACCTGCAGCAATTTTTCCTAATCTGCATACTGACATTTTTTATTTTAGTTATTTTTGAATCTTAATTTCATTAGTTTCAAAATTCATATTGTGTTGCTTGTCTCAGCGCTCAGCATGTGTACTAATGGGGGAGGGTTAACCTCACATAATCCAGATAAATGTTTTAATTGCTGCTTTGTTGCAGTGGAGCTTTCTTATGATAATTTAATTATGCTGATTAGGTCTGCCTCACATGGAGCCACATATTAATGCAGTCAGCATGAAAAAAAAATGACGGCATTGTTTTCTTTAGTTTTACAGTGAAAAGTTAATTGAAGTATATCCGGCATACATGTAATGTAACTTTCTAACGAGGCTTAGATGGTGAAATTCAGCAGAACAACAGGTCTGCCTAGTGTGGCACCAACAGACTAGTGAAATACAGGAAATAAAGATCCACTATTTCTCTCATTGTTAGCATCAGTCTGGCAGCAGAGCGTCTCATTTAAGGTGTCAGGCTCCACTCTGCAGGACTCACATCAACCACATTTTACCAGATAGACAAAAGGCTCAAAAATACTTTCAGGTGAAAGTGCACAACTCGGATAACTATGGTTGAAGTTAGATGAAGACATTTTAGTAGCCAATCTGCATTGACATTTCTGCAGTGAGTACTTAGTAAGTTGTGCAGACGTCACATAGAGTATAAAAGGACAGTGTGAGGTTGTGCATTTCAAATAAAATAAAATAAAAAAAGTCTAAATTGCAAGATGTTTAGGATGCAAAATAGGTAGGATATCGCCCGAAAAGAAAATTGGAAGACCCTCTTTTCCTCGGTTCCCAGGAGGATGAATCTCAATCAGTGATCTCCAAAACACTGCTCGTTTTCATTTCCTCCACTAAATGTGCAGTTTTAAGAATGATAATACAGAGGTCTTGCATTGTTTAAATACAGGCTGTCATCTTAACCCTCCTGTTATCCTCAGATTTACTTTACACCCTTTATCCTCTGTGGTCAATTTGACCCCAGTAGTTTAAACTCAAGACAATGATCATATTCCAAATTGTAACCAACATGTATGTCTCTGGTGCTTTAGGTATCTTAGTCAACTACATAAATAACCATTTAAATAAAACATTACCCCGACCTCCCCCCTACAGAACCCTTTATACATTCAGAATTCCTATTATCGACAAATATATAAATCACCATAAAATCTCACTAACTGAAATAAAATGTTAAAGTAAGATATTTTTGATGTTGTTAAAGGATCAATAACTAAAGCAGAGGGTAGTTTTTTTTTTACAATGATACATTTGCATGTAATAGTCACCTCAATATCATCCTACACAATCAACACAAATTATGTGTAAAATATTGAAATTTGTATATGTTTTATACTACTAAAACAGCCTGGGGTCAAATTTACCCCAAGGAATACCGATGCGTACAAAGTGCGTACAGGACATTTAGTGTTATCTGTTAAGTAAGAAAAGTTGGCGGAGGTGAGTGCTCTTTTAGTTTACAGCAGTGTTTCTACAAGCACGCAGTCACACGATGTATTATGCAGATAAACCTTGTCTATTGTAAGTAAAGAGTGAGACGTTTGTAAAGACAAAAAGCTGTTTACCTCTTGGGTATTGCGCTTAGATCCTGCCTATCTGAGAGAGAGAGAGACATCACACTGATCAACAAGTCAACACTGAGTTTGTAGCACACTTTCATTCGGCTCTGAACTCTTTTACCTTTAGTTTGTTGCAGTGATGGATGGTGCTCATCAGTATTCAGCATCACTAGACCTGTTGCTGTCTTACTTCACTGAAATGGTAAACTGGATTATATACTGCAGATAGGCTTTCTGTCTCTGCTTCTGTTTCTCTTGCTCCTGGAGCACTGTGTCTCAAAGCAAAACACACCAGCCTCATCACACCGAACACTTGTTTAGTAGACCCCCAATGTTCAGTTCTCTCCTGAGGTCACCATTCCTCCATATTTTTCCCATCTTATGAAATATTTTCATACCTCTTTTTCAATATGACAACCCATTTCTGTCAGTGTACAGTTGTGTTTCCACCAGGACCTGTGTGTAACCCTCCCTCCTGAGTGAGAGACTGAGAGAAATAGAAGTGGTAAGAGAAAGAAGTCCTCAAATTTTAGATGTCTTTGTCGATTTTAAAATCAAGCACGGATATCAAACTGATGCTAATGAC